GGATTTATTGTGCAACAGGTCTAATGGTAGCCCATATGTGTTTCTGCTTCTTTGTCCATTGCTCATTATTTATCTTCCACACTTCACACCTACCTTGCTGTAGACTTTTAACTTGTATCTTAAATACTTTTCCCAGGTTCTGCATTAGCCATGGTACCACCCTGCTCTGTCATTAGCTACAGCTGTTCCTCCTGTTACTTTGTTGGTGTAGCTGCTAAAGTGTTTGTCTTTGTCGCTATTGATGTTTAGTCTGCTAGAATGGGAAATAATTTTTTTGTGTTCCTGGCTGCTTGTCCTGCAAAGTTGGAGGTACTCCTCCTCTTACGTAAGCTTTAACTGCAGTCAGGTTGTTTTGGCCTGCAGAACTTAGAAATTCCTGGACTTGTCTTGGCATTGAAAGTGGACAGCTGAAGCCAGAATGAATGCCGTCCAGGAGTCTGGAATGCTCATAAATATGGAAATGAAAGGAAATTAGTATTAAAGCAAGTTGTGAAATGTAGACTTCACAGAAATAAGAAATATAATTTGTATGAGCTAAACCTGCTCTTCATCCATCAATTCCAACGCTGGGCAGTTTTGCAAAAGTCTTGCAACTGCACTTTAGTGGACGCAGATCTGTGATCAATCACGTTTACAAAAATAATCAACTGAATGCTTCTTCTGACCACCACTTTTGGCAAGCATTAGCTTCTCACTCTACTAAAAACAGGACGATAAAAGTCTTCAGCTTGGTGCTAGCCCTTTTGCTGAAGAAAGATAACAAAAGAGAATTCATATCAGTTTGGATGGCTAATAGTTGGCTTGGTCACTATGCACAGGAATTGGCAAATCAAACTGGTTTTATGACTTGCACAATGTAAAGTCAGAATTGGGTCAGGTATGATCCTAGATCCAGGTTCTGACTTCACAGCTCTAAGTAATGCATAATGAGACGCTAGTTAGCATCATGTTCCGTTAGCTGCAAGTAATGAAGCTCAAATCCCGAGGTGGCCCTAATGGGAACAAAAAAGAGAAAATGTGTGTTATTACATAATCATATATATTTTTTAAACTTCATTTCATATTGTAATGTTATTCCCTCACCAGAACTTTATTGCATTCTTGAGAAATCTTTGGATAAACCATGGCAACCATTCAGGGGGTGCCTAAGCGCAGAGGTTATCTGCATAATATGGGAAATTTACAGGAAAATACTAATATGGAAGCAGGAGTAAAATATGGTAGTTTCTCAGCCAAAATGGGAGACTTGACAGGTATGCTGTTAACAAACACCTGTTGGAACTGCATGTCTGCTGAGCTTATGTTGATGAATTCAGGGGTGATGTGTTGGTACATTTTCTCATTAAATTTGAACCATTTAAAGCACTTGAAAACATGCAGTGACAAAAAAAAAACAGTTCTGACTAAATCTCAAGTTCTACTTGGAAGTATTACTTTATGGGTGCTTGCTTATTGTTGCATGGTCATTGAGTTGGTGCCCATCTCCGGCAGTCATTCCTCAGTTAGGCAGGATACACCCTGGACAGGTCGTCATGGTGTAATGTTGAATAAATAAGAATTAAAAGAAGAAATTGCATGTTTGTTTGGAGCAGCTGAAAACTTAAGTTCTGCAAAATGCTGTTTGTTTACATTTAGTGGACTTGGCACTTAGGAGCAAGGGGAGGTTTGCTCACATTAAGACAAATAACATGTCTTTTCTGGTGATTTTACATAAGCCTATAAAACGTGATTAAAATTTACCTATGGTTCTGTTTTAAGTTTTTCTTTATCTTTTACCTTTACTGGCTGTGTGTTTGGTTTGTTGTCTACAGTAATACAAACTAAGGAATGCTTTTTCAATCTCACACAGATTAAACAGTTGATTAATTCAGATGTCAGGTTGCAAAAAGAAAAGCTGTGAGTGATGGCGACACTTAACAGAATCAGTGAAGATAAAGACGGACTGTGTATTTTTTGCAGATGATCCCTCTCAGCATTGACAGCATCACAGAGGGAGGGGGAAACCATATATAAATGACCCCTCCACCCACAAATCCCTGCCATTAGTCACAGTCTCCCTCGCTTTCCGGATGCTTTTTTTCTTAATATTCACACTTCTCTTGTTACCACAGAAACACATAACCTCCCTTTATAAACTGAAAATTTGAAGAAACTGTCTGACTGCGCGCTGCGGTTGGGTCCTGATTTCACACTCAAATGCAAACACGGTCACTCACACATACCGTCAACTGCAGTAATGAGCTTTAAATTAGCTCTCCGCCTCTCTGTGGGTTTAAAGTCCTTCTCTGTTCAGTGTACAAGTAAAAATGGAAAGGAAACAGAGTTGGTTTTGACCATACAAGGGGCTGAAATACTTTTGGAAAAACAAATTTTGTGAGTGGGGAAGTGAATGTCTTTGTTTTATAATCATGACAATCTGACAACATGCAGTTACAATTTCTATACACTGTAAAAACCTCAGCTCTTCCTCTGGATGAGGAAACCCAGTTTAAGGATGTTTGCCTCCTTCAAACGATCCAACTGCCTTGTTTTAGCTTGTTGTCAGTGTTTGAGATCCTGTTGAGGAAATTACCGAGTGGTGAAGGATGAGAAGCTGAAGGAACGTGACTCTGGTGTTGAGCTGTAGAAAATGGTGCAATGTTAGTACTGTTTAGGGAAATAAGTAAGGTACCAGAGGTAGAAATAATTTGGTGTCAACCTATGGGCTTAATATGGTTTTATCACGGTATTTTGTGGTATGTTGAGATAAGAACAATTATAATACAAACTTTTTTTGTACTTTTTTGAAGAAACTGTGACTTTCATAGTCCTACAAACACAAAGACTGCTCTTGAAAAATATTCCTATTTGTAATTCTTATTCCTATTTAATCATATGTTCAAACTTATTGATATTTACTGATGCTCTCATTGAACAAACAGTGGTGAAAATAGTAAAATTAACAGTCCCTGTATTGTACATAACAATACAGTTATGTGGAGGTTAAACGTCATTAATTGGAATTTATCATGACAATTCAAGAAATATATCATGATAAACGATACAATAAATGCCCAACCCTTGCTATACATAAAGAAAACATTTATCAAATTCTACATTTTTTTCACCTTTTTTTTTATTTATCACTCTGAATTAATTCCCTTTTCACACCAGAAAATGCATCAAAGCTCTTAGTTTCTTCCTATGAAATGAGTTTAGTATCATTTCAATCATCAAGGAGTTGAGGCTTTGGGAGCAGCCACAGGTCATCAGATAAGGGGTTTCTGCTGTAGCCTTATGTCCTCAACAGTTCACGCTTGGGCGAGCTGAGGAGTTTTGAAGATCCGTGTGTGTGTTTGCTAAGCTTGTGGTGCTCATTATAGAAGGCCTGCGTACGTGTGTGTGTGTATTTCAGAAGAGAGGGGGTTGCAGGTGAACCGTTTGGATTCAGACTGAGGTCCTTCGTGGGTCAGTGGATCTTCTGACCATTTGAGAGGGAGGTCGTGATTCTTAGGCTCTGTTCTGTCTGTGATGGCCGTCCAGGGGGAATCTATGTAATGACACTGGTTAGGGAAAAAAAGAAGACTGTCAGGACCCCTTCCTGCTGTGACCAGTCCTCGTCTTTATGGGGGGAAAAACAAATAGTCAACACATTTGCTTTGGTGTACGAGACTGAGGATTGGGTGTCTTGCATGTGTCATTTTGATGACACTCTCTGTCCTGATTTATTGTAGCCTTTTCCTGTTAACTATGTGACTATTTAAGAGGATGGATCAGTCATCAGCACAAATCAAATTGGCGAATGTAGATAAAACAAATAGACTATTTTTCACAGCAAATATTCTTTTATATTAACTCCTTTTTTTCTGTGTTAGAATGATGTCAAAGAATAATTCTGTTTTCTGTTATTCCTTTTTATTATTTCCAAGGTTTCTCCTAGAAAACTTGCTAAGCCCGGTGGTTGGGCGGCTAGGGCAGTCAGTCAAGCCCGTTGTGCTTTTGAGTTAAATGTTTAAAGTTGACAGGAAATTTTAAAATGTCACTTGATAATCATATACTATTGAAAGATTGGATGATTAATACCTGAACACCAGCTATAAAGTCTTAAAAAATGCAAACATTTTAAAAAGACTTGAATAATGATTTTCCTGGTGGGGGCACAAGTAGAGCCTGGTGGCCCGCCAGGCTTATAAAACACTGGAGGAAACCCCGATTTCTCCAAACGGTAAACTTTTACCTTTTCTGAATTCTTGCAATGCAAGTGCAATTCCATTTTGCTTTTTGTAACCTTTTGGTTGTTTTGTAAGTTGGACTAAAATTGAAGCAAGGCTCAACGCTAAAGAAACGCATAAAGGACATTCTCATCAAAGCAGCTAATGCTTTATTAACATCATTTTGAGTAATATATCGACATTAGCTCATCTTTAAATCCTACAAGGTTTTTGAGCTACAGCTTTATTAAGTTTAATCATTTAAAAAAAAGTAACTTTCTTTCTTTGACCTTCTTCTTTTTGGGAATGTTTTGTGATCATTCTGTGCTGGTGTTTCTCTAATCTGCAACACAAAAAGCAGTCCGGTTTCTCTCAGTGGATGAGGAGCTTTTGTCCAAGCCGACTCACAGCCTATTGATCACTCATAACCCCCTCTCCTTCTTGTGAAGTGTGGATCAGTGTGCAGCCCATGCAGTTGTGCAGCAGCAGCAAGGGTTCAGCTGCTCTCCGAATGTGCAACAAATGCACCTAAAAACTTTTTCTTGCTGCACAAACTTTTAGGCAGAAATCTAAGTTCAGCTTAAGCCTGATCTGACTTCAAATGAAACGGCAAAATCTCAAAAAGACAAATGAACTCAAATAAGGAGTGAAGAACGGACAAATTGTGGGACTCCCGTCTTCTTGTAATTTGCTGCTGGAGAGCGAGGGGAGGAGCAAGGGGGAGGGGAATACACAGCAGGGAGGGGAGCATGAGAGAGCAGAGGCCATTCACTGACACACACATGCACGCACTCCAATGCAAACACATGAACACTTCGAGACACACACATGCACGCTGTGGATGCAGGAGAGAGAGAGGGAGGGAGGGAAGCTTTTAGAGACGGAAGCAGGCAGAGGAGATCCTTGGCAAGCTAAAGAGAGCGAAAGGAAAGACCTGGAGGAGTCAGTTCAGAAGAAAACTTTTCTATTTAGGACCAGACCGCACTCTAATTTCTAGAAAACAAAATTAAAGAAAATCACAATGCTTTGGAGAGTTAAGAAAATCTGAGGATTTTTTTCCCCCCTGGAACTGCTAGGAATACTTTTTTTGTAAAAGTCTGGATATGTGACATTCTGTGGAAATCCTGTTTCCTTCTGAACTTTCTCGCCATCACTTTTGAGAAACATTTTGTCGTCATCTCATCTGAAGAAGGGCCAAGCCACAATGCCTACTGGTAAGAACGGAAATGCCCAGCTATAAAATATAGATTTATTTTCTTAAATGGGTATCAACATGTTTCTGTTGTGATGTGACTTGATTTCTATGCCTGACGGTTTGCTTTAACGTTATACACTAGTTGTAAATTTCTACACTATATTAAATTTTGCTATCACAAAATCCCCTTAAGTGCATAATTTCTGTGAACTACTTGGTTTATTTTTTTTAACAAATCTTAAACATGTTGCTTCCCTCTTGCTGCATGTTGAGATGCCATTCGGCAGCCTGTGACCTAATTTAGAGCCTCAAAGGGCAGCAGCTGGCAGCAGGCTGCAAATGGGTATGAAGCAGAAAAGAAGAGGAGGGGGAATAATTACTTTTTAGCGCAAAGTCTTTGGTTTCAAGGTGCTGGAGACAATGGAGTTCTCCGTATTTCTCCTCCCACTCTGCATGTCCGCGGGGAGGGAAGGGTGCCCATCCAAAACACATAAGTGCACATGGCTCAGGGGGAGGGGGGGGAGGCGGGTGGTGATGAGATCCCTTAAAAGTTCCTACTTTTAGAGTCTCTCACCTGAGGGGCCACGGATGACACCCTGCAGCTCAAGCTGTATAAGACTTTTTTGTTGTTTTTTTCCATTCAGAAATTTAGGCTAGCATGCCACAGTCTCAAGCAAGACTGAAGGGTGTGAACATGGGTGTCTCGTGGGCGAGTACAGGACTGTGGGTGTCTGAAAATAGGGACAGCATGCGGGAGGATTCTTCTCCCATAGCTACTCGACTATAACTACACTGCACATTCCTGAGTGTTGTCTCTGTGGTGTCAAAAACACAAAGAAATCTTTGGACGCTTTATTTTTCATAGGGGGGGTTTATATTTGAAATGTGCTGCAGCTTTGTTGAGTGTGCTCTCTTTATTATGTGAAAATGTTGTTGTTAATTAGTCCACTAGCTGCAAGCATGTGTTTGCTTAGGTTTTATGAGGCAATGAAAGCCCAGATTTATGTTAAAAGGATAGCGCAGTGAGATGGAGTTGTGTTAAACTGTAACAATCAGTTAGTATCTTACCTACAGTGGATAACTCTCATAATGACTTTGTTTAATGTAAATTCATATTCTTTGGATCAGAAAGCTGAAATTGACAAGTAGTCTCAGTTGCAAAGACCAAGGGGACTTCTATTATTTTAAAGAACCCCAAATTTCAGAAACATCCAATTATTTTATGCTGACACTATGAACCATTAAACCTTTGATTTGCAATGGAGGGCGAGTTAAAAACAAGCTAATATTTACACAGGAAATGGCTGGGATGCGGTACGCCACCAATAATCTTCCTGTGTAAAACATGTTCTGAGAATGATGCCTATAACGTGTCAAGTTTGACATAAATAGTAAAGTGTAAAAATAAAAAAATATGATTGAGCATTGTTTATTTTAATTTTTCCTTTTACATCGGACATTTTCTGTGATACTTTACATGTTCCAATCTCAATAGGTTTCACGCAGGACGCTCATTGGTGGCACACCGCCTCCAACCTCACTGTAAATAATCACCAACTTCTGTGTAAATAAAGATTTAAAAGGTCACAAGGCAATGTTTTGAAATTGGAGTTAAGACATTAGGCGTCTGAGTTGGTCTTGGCCCCTCTTGGACTAGCCCTTAGCTGCAGTTAATCTGGATTTATAATAAATCAAAATGCAAGGAGAGCAATATATTGCAGATAATTAAACTGTTTATAAATAGAAACTAGCTTTAAACATCCCAAGTGATCCGTTTAACCCGTGCGCATATTTACTGTAAACATCTTGTGGTTATGATGAGTGTTTATACTTCAGGAGACAAATGCAGTTGTTAATTGGTGCACCAGGTGTCCACTGTGTTTACTTTGGTTTATATTAGAGCCTTTTTAAGCATGTTTTCTCTTCTATCTCCTCTTGCTTTGCTCCAGCAATTCATGCAACATTCGCATTTGAGTATATTCCCCAAACCTGCGCATTTCTTTGTTGGTCTAGCAGTAAGTTCAGTGGAAACCCCGCCTCCTGTGTTTCCCCCTCTGTCTGTATGTGTCTAACCTCTGGGCCCTGCGTTCGTCTGCCTCTTCTCGCTGCATTAATTGGGCTGCAGTGTGAAATCCAGAGCGACACTTTAAGGTCTTTAGCGTCAGTTGCGATCAAGGCTATGTCTCTATTAGAAATGGGGACAGATCTGAAGTGGAATATGAGGAAAATGGGAAGTTGAAGATTGACAAGGTTTCAAAGCGTAAAATTGTTGTGCTATTAAGTAAAATTTTTAGGATGTACTGTTATAAAGTTAGTGCTTCACTGGGTAGATTGGTTGGGCTGAAGCAAAAGGCAGAATTCAGAAAAAAAAAATGTTGAGTGGGAAATGGAGGAAAGGGAAAAAATATGGGAGTGGGTGGTGTTTGACCTTCGGCCTTCTTTCTCATCTTTTCTTCCTACTTTCATTCCTATGGGACATCTACCCCTCATTCCTCTCTTACTCGCAGTTACTCATGTCCCCGGGGTTAAAGACGCTGCCAAAGTGAACACAAAGGCGACGGCATTGCAACTGGTTTCGGTTATCCGTTCAGAGTTCTTGAGTTTCTAGCAAGAAGTACACAGGACTGTCAAAGATTGAGTTGCCATCTGGAAGGCATACCGTATAATAAACAAAATCTTGCAAGCAACTTTGAGTAATGTGCAGTAAAATCCTGTCTCGTGCTCACACTTTTTGTTTTTTGTTGGGATCCCTCCATTTCTTGCAAAGGCTGGTTGGAAATTTAAGGATGTTCCTGTACTTAACAGTAAATCCATTTGGTGTTTAAGCAGCTGTCAGAAAGTTGCTGTCGGGAACTGCTCATATAATGGGAAGCTCGGCCAATCACAGTGTTCAAATATGCATATCTCTTGCAAAAGCAACCAAGTCGCAACCATCACTGGAAGAAATAAAAATGGAAATCTTATTGTTTGACCACCTTTGGTAACACTTTATTTGAAGGGGTGTGCATAAGACTGACATGACACACCTGTCATGAACATAAAGAAGTCTTTATGAATGTTTATGACGGTTGTCATGAAGTGTCATTTGGCAAAGTCGCTCTAAAAGTTGCATTAAAAATCCATTTAAAGTGCCAACTTTGCATGATTTTGTAAATTATGATAATTTAATGCAAAGTTGTTACTTTTAATGAACTTTCAATGCAACTTTTAGAGCAACTTTGCATTAAAAGTGTCATTATTTACCGAATAACCTAACCCTATCCCTAAAGCAAAAAGAGCCCGAGGAGAGAAAAAAAAAGAGAAAAAAAAAATGACTGCACCTAAATGTGAACATGGGCCATGGTGGTCAGTACCCACATTATGTACAGGTTGGCCTATGGTTATTTTCCTAAATAGAAAAGAACAGGCATGGTCTGACTGAAAGGAATGTCTGGTGGAAGCTGAATTGTGAAGTTGGCAAGGTTCCTGTCGAGAAATGCCAGATGTGTTTTAAGTTTCATAACAAAATATGTTGATGGAGAAAAAGAATGACAGGAAGGGAGGAAGAAAAGGATCGGAAGTCAGTTTATGAGTGGTATGTGAGCGCATTATAAAGGTGTGAGTGAGCAAAACGGGATAATTTATGGAAATAACTGTGAGGGGAAAGTCATTTAGCTTGTTGGTGTGGTTAATGTCTTGGCCTCTCTCTACTAAGATGCAGCTCAGAACTATGGTCTTGTTTTCTCTGATGCGTTGCACTCAGTTGCATGTGTAAATTAATCTTCATAAAAAGCTGTTAGATTACTTCAGTGTTTGGCTAGCTTTGACTGGTAAAGTCAGATGTTTAATTAGACTAATAGAGGTTTTGTCATATGTTTCTATTCTGTTTTGTGAATGCAACTACAGCAAAGAGGAACATTTTTCAGTCATTCAGGAAAACCACCATCTATAAGTAGTGACTGGGATTTTCCTGCAGGCTGAAAGGTTTTTGGAAACCGCCTGTTTCTTTGAAGAATTTCATTTAAGTGATTGTTGTTTGAAGTCGCTGCAACATCTGAAAACAGCTACAAGAATTTCACTATAAAGCTTTTGATCTTTTCCATGACTGTCATAGAAGCTCAAATCAGAATCCAAATAATTTAGAATGTTCTCGCAATAAAATCTAGATCAAAACGCTTGTACAATGGTAAAGTCCCAGCATTTCAAATCAGGAATTGAGTGTCTTCTAGCGTTTTGCTTCCTGAAATGGCAAGAAAATTGTGAGCAGCTTGAAGGTTCATGAGAAGATCAGGGTTGTTGCATCTGAAATGTTTTTCTTCCATATCGTTATCCTTTGTTTATAGAAAATCAGTTTCACTCTTAGTTTTCTTGCAGTGTAGCCAGAGAGAAATGGGGATCTAATTACTGCATTTAGTTCTCATAAAGGTGCCAAATGCTGTTGTGTGTGGAATGGACATTTTTAGCTTAAATTATATTAAAAGCTTATATCTTTAGTCATTTTTTGACTTTGACACAAAATAATTTCTGTAAATTTCTCTGTTTTTATAACAGTTACGGTGCTTTGAGGATGTGTACTGAAGTTGAAACTTGAATTGGAAAAAGTCTGCGTTTAAAAAGCACCCACTAGTTTTATTTTTAATGCAGGCTGTGGATACATAAAATGTAGTAAAGATGGCTGATCTTTGAACGATTTAGTAGTACTTCAGATTATCTTTAAAACAAGGGTCTGGTGCATTCATTTTCTCTATTCTGACAAATTAGGAGAATTCATTGTTTTAATACGTCTAGCACTTAGCCACTGATTTGTGCAATAGTAATTTTAATCCTAAATTGCAGACCAAAGTAGTGATGAGAGCTCTCAGCTTCACAATGCACAAGCAGGTTATCATAAAGCTCCTCACAGTTTCATCTTGTGCCTAAATGTCTCCTGTGGATCATTTCCATATATTTCTAACCCAATGGTTCTTTGGGCATTTACAATGCAAATTCAGCACAGACCTTTGTCCATACAAGTTCAGGACATGTTACTTCATTTGCTCCACATCTGTCTCTGTGATGCATTTGTCTGCCTCTAAAATGTTTCCTCTCTTGCTCTTTCATTTGAGTCTCCTGATGTAGCCAAACCAAGTGGGTATCTTCTCAAGTGGCAACCCTTACAGGATGAAGTTCCCTTCTTTGATATTCTATGGACTGTGTTTTCTTGCCAAGGGATCCTCCCTGGGAATCACGTGTTGGATTTGTTGCTAGAGCCACCATGCTACACATTGTCAGTGTGTTTTTCCTGCTGGAACCCGGTGATTAAGGAAGCCACTTGACTTCAAATAAACACTGGGAACAGTTTTTGCTCAGTGACATTTTGTGCATAAAGTAATGTTTTTTACGGAACAGCTTCGCAGTTTAAAAGACTGCATGAGATGGGTATTACAAAGCACTCTTAGAGCTTTTCTGAGCTACTTGTGAGGCCCCTGGGGCCGTAAACAGAGAGCAGTGCTCTCAGCTGTTTGCTTACCACTTCACAACAAAGAGCACTTCAGGTGGCTGTAAAGAGTATGACTGAAGCGAACCAGTTAAATTTAGCATGAGTCATTAAACTTAGCTGGACTGGTATGGAGGCTTGTCCGGCTGACTTGCACCAGTGGAAGGGAAATCACTGCGCCTCTGTTCACAGATCTACAACTGATTAGTTTTGCGAGTCTGTGTGTTTTTGTTGTATATACGTTGACCAGTCTTGATGAGAATTGCTAACAATGATAATGAAAATGACAAAGTGACTTTTATAAGCAAGACGATTTTCTCTTTATATCATAGAAATGTCAATAGACTGACTGTTTGGGAGCTTTGAACTTTAATTAGGTGCACACTTTAAAAATCCATGACTGCAGCTTAACAGGGCGAACTTGCACACGTCAACAGTAACGGCGCTTGCAGGTGTGAACTCTGATGTTTCCCTTAAGGTCAAGAGTTAACCCTGCTGTTATATAACGACAACCAAGATGTTTATCCCTTTATCTGGAGACATCAGTCTCATGTTTAGTCAAAGCAACAGCCTTTTTATACAGAGAAAACCATGTTTTCTCGTGATCATCAGATATTGACGGCAAGAAACTGAGACTGTTTTGTGTAAAACTGTTTCATCGTTCAGCATCGCTGCAGTCACGCATGTAATTGTTTTCAGCAGAGCTCCTTAATGCGATATAATCAAAATCAGTTTCTACATGCCCCTCTTAATGTCTATTGAAGAAGTAATAGTTTTGTTTTTTAGTAATGTCACACTGAATTATTTGCATAACAAAAACAAACTAGAATTGCAAGCAGTTAAAAAAAAAAAAGGGGTGCAAGCCCTGCTTAACAAGTCTGGCCACATCCCTCCTCATGCTGTGTTGTGTTGGTAACATCGTCTCTCCCCCAAGTTGGATGGCTGGGTGGTTGCCAACAGGATAAATATAGTCCTCTACAAACTACAGTATGCTTCTCAGACTCACTACACCATAAAAAACAAAGAAATGTTAAATGCAGTTTAAATATGATGCCAGAAATTAATCACAGTCTTGCAAAAAAATATTGGATTTAAAAGTTGTCAACGAGAGTTAGACTTCTTATTTTTAGCAACCCCTGACCTTCAGTTTTCTGATGTTTGTATTATTTTTTATATTTGATTAACATTCTAAAAATAACGGCAAAACCTGTAATGTCAGCATTGTGTTAAAATGTTAAATGGATTGACTAAAAATACAGAAATAGTTTAGACGTCATCTTATACAAGCCATTTCTAAATTTGATATTTTTTCATACTAAATATGGCTTCCATCTTCTCATGCACAAACTTTCTTCTAAATCAGTTTGTTTAATTCAGTAACCTTTTTAAGTATATGGAGTGGAAAGATTATTTACTTCTGTCACTGTCACTTACTATATTTAAGTTAAATAAACTCTAGAGAAAAGTCCACATACTTGACCAACATAATTTCCTCGTGGCTTCTCATAAAACATTTCTCTTAATCCATTTGTACACATGATAATAATCAAAATAAATGCTTCAGCCTTTTGTACTCTGTGTTTACCGTTTGCCAGTCTTCCGTCTGTTTCCTTCTGGCTGTCGGTGTTTGCCTTTCAGCTGGGCCTAATGTCGAACATATGAAATCCTCACTCTTTGTTTGAGTTCAATGAAAGCCAGAGATTGATGCCAGGTTGCTCAGACACTCGCTGTATTCACTCTCTCCCTCCTTTGGCAGGAAACGCCGACCTCGCACACAATCTTTAATCCTCACGTGCACATTCAGAGACAAACGACGCGCGCACACACACATACGCACAGAGCAGAAACAGTCCCAGCCTGCATACTTAGGACCATAATTAGAGATAATTTACATGGATCAAGTTGAAAATAATCTGGATAGCGGGTAACTAAATCCTGGTCATCTTTATTCTGTGCTTGTGTATGTGTGCATTGAGGTCAGACTGGTTGATGTGTGAGAGGGGAAAATAGCCTGTTCACCCAGGAAACGGACAGGGTGTGCCCCAAACATGAAGCTGAAGGGTGGGAATGAGGAGCAGGGCAAACATAAGATGGGGCAACATCTCTGTGGTGTTTGGGTTTTTTGTGTGCTCACACTTCAGTTTGCATGTGCAGGATTCACAGATTTGTACGCTCTACCTAGTTGAACGTACAACTAGGTAGAACCATTGGTGATAGAACCATCAAATAATCAGCTTTGGTATGGATTGTGGAGTAAATAATTTCTTGTGAAACGTGCACTGAAAGATTTATCAAACGACAAAGGAAATGGGTATTTGCCCATTAAAGTCACAGAGTGCAATTTAATCTGTCTCTTTGTGCATTGTGTGCATGAAAGCAGAGTGTGGCTTACTGAAAAGCCGCGTCTGTTTGTGTTTATGTGCGTTGTTGATTCACTCCATAGATTTGTTGTTCTTTCTGATCTTTAATTGTTAGAAAGTGGGTCAGGGCTGGGGTTTAAACATTTGGAGGACACAAAAACAAGCAGTAAATCCTTTCCAAACTTGTCAGAGGGAAACTAACACTTCATCCCACTTAAGTCTTGAGACACTGGAGTTCCTTCCTGCTTTTCTTGGCAGGGGAATAGAACTATAAAGAATCCTGAATCATTATCCATCCATCCATTTTCTGTACACCCTTGTCCCTTAGTGGGTTTGGGAGAGGTGCTGGTGCCCATCGCCAGCAAACGTTTCGGTCGAGAAGCAGGGTACACCCTGGACAGGTCGCCAGTCTGTCGCAGCCTGAATCATTATCTGTAAAATAGTTCAGGTTTTTACTAGACAGTCTCTCATAGCGTCATAATGGATTTGGGTTCAGCTTCTTAATAATCGTGTTGAGTCCAGTCCGTGATCTGCTTATCAGAGACCAGCCCAAGTAGAAAACAGGCATTGCTGTGGCAAAATGACGGGCCGTTTTGAAAAGGGAGAGCGTGGATATGGAGCTGGATTCTTTGAGCTTGTCCTCAGTTTCATGTTTTGAACCTGAACCTGTGATCTCAAATGCTTTGAAGCGAGAAAGGTTGAGCTGTTGCTGCTGGCATTGATGGTCTTCCTGGATGTCGCTGTTGGCACAACACAGCAGCTGCTGGTACACCAGTAACATCCTTTTTGAGAAGTGATTTCTGCTTTGAAACATTGAATGTTAAAGTTTACTTCAGTTAGACTGACTGTAATGGCCATTGGAGGTTGGTAAAACAGTATTTTAACGAATTTCTGCAAACGGACTCTGTTGTGAACCAGTTTGACACAGGCTAGATGCCAGAGAGAGAACTGTAGCTGCACATAACTTTGAAATAGAGCTTTCATTCATAACATGGGTTGCTCTTAGTGTGCAGTGTTCAAGCAAATCATCACCCATACACTTATTTGGTCAAACAAATTAGAATTCAGAAATGTTTGGTCCCCTTCATGTTTATTTTCTAGGTGGTGTGATGACTGTTAGGCTTTTTTTTTTTTGTAAAAGAAAAACACTTTTGGAGAGATTTATGGTAGATCTCCAAGTGGCCCACATATGGTGGGTGGTCAGTGTAAACGTCTGTTAACTGTGGTCAGGAATGAGGATGCTACTAAACGGAGGCCCTGTAATGATGTTTAAGTAGCACTTGCAATTACAGAGAGGGATTCATATTAGCACTGGTACTGGTTTTTGTTTAATTTGAATATTAAATGTGTTTGTTGGGCCTAAATATTTGTTTTTTTTAGATTTTTCTTTAGAGGTTTTTGTCCAATAAAATTTTAGACTCATAACATGCAATAATACCCTCCTCATGAAGGAGCTCTGATGTTGTAACCAATGTATTTATAGAGCCTCCCCACTGGTAAATTTACAATGAGTTGACTAAATGTTCATAAAGAATAATCTGATCACTACCCTCTGTATCAAAACAATAGTTTTATATATTTGTTTCTAATCCTGGTGTTCTATTCCTAGAATTAAGAAAAAAAAAATAGGGGTTTTTAGTTGTCCTTGACAACTAAAACCTACCATTTGCCCTTTACTGTTTAGAGGGCAAATGTATGAAACCAAAATTCTAACCTCAAAACTAAAAAGTTAAACAATGCAACTTACACTGGTTTCTTTCTGTAAAACCTCAACTAGACCTTTGGTCCTATATGACATGGTTGTGTGGCATCACATCCTCTTGGTTGTTAAGCTGGCTTAAACTTCAAAACAGTGATGGGAATATAACTGCTGCTTTTGTGATAATTCCCAGATTTATCCTAATCCATATAATATGAACAGCAACATTGATCTGTGATGTCGCACAGTTGCCATTTTTCAGTCTGCACAGTCCACAAAGGTTTCACCAAAGCCTGCAACTGGATAAATGTGAAAAATACTTGGCCTTTGGACTTAAATCTAATAATGTTGTTTTTTTTCTCTCTGTTTTTTCTCTTTAGACGATTATAGCTACCTGCCTGATGTGCTGCCTCCTCTTCCCGAAGTCCCGGACTCTGGCTCAGACCTGAGCTCCGTTGACATCCCAGCACGCTGCCTCCGCAACCCGGCCTTCCGCCACGCCTCCTCGCGTTATTGCTCTGCCATCAGCATGGACTCCTCTCCTGACAGCGCCGAACGACCCATCAGCTACAGCTCCACGTCCTCCTCCGCCTCCTCCAGGGACAGTCACTGCTCTTTGGGCAGCCGTTCGACCCTTGTCGCGGCCCCTCAATGTAACCCCGTTACCCCTGACCAGGACTCCGGGGCGATTCGATTGGAACTGGTCCCGGCCAGGCAGCTGGGATGCGAAGAGGAGTACGAGGGAAACAATGGAAACGGCAGCAGACAGACTGCTACAGAACATTTACAGCCCAAGTTGAGTCCAGAAGTACAAGAGAAGATGAGCCAGGTGCAGGGACCCAGGACGTATGTGGACCGGGTGGTGCAGGAGATTCTGGACACAGAGAGAACCTATGTTCAGGACCTGCGCAGCATCGTAGAGGTAAACTAGTGTTTATTTGTAACATCGTACACAAATTAATTCTAAGTTCTTTATGGAAAAAACAAAAGGACAGAGATATGACACATTCAGAGTATGAAATGCATCAGAAGAACAAGGGAAAAACAAATAGACATCACATAAAGACAAACCCTAAAATGCAAGTTAAAGACTTGATGGAAATGATGAAGTTATCTTTGATCTATCCAAAAAAATTACAGTAAATATCACATTTTTAGTTTTGATTTAATGAAACTGAACGTTTCTGGACTCTTAAGCATTTGAGGAAGCTGGTACCAGACCCGACCAGCATAGAAAAAGATGATGCCTCTCTGATGACCTGAGGAGCCTACATGGTACATACATGGCTAGAAATTCTGACTTCGTACTGAGACCCAACACAATTCAGAGCTGTAGACCATCAACAAGACCTTGAATCTGTCCTTTTACAAACAGGGAGCCAGGGGAGGGATTTGTGGCCTGATGAAATATGATCCAGGTTTCAGTAATTTTAGTAGATAAAGCTCAAGTTGCCATAGAACTCTAAAGTTGTATGTCATCAGCATTGTAAGGGATATGGTGTTTTTAAGATGATCTACTTTGAAACTAAATGAGAAGGCCAACGATTATTTATTCACGTTTTATACTTTTAATGCTTACAAGATCAAATATGGTAGGTTTCCTTTAAATAGTAAGAATAAATTCGCTTAAAAGAAAAAACTTTTAATATTTTTTTTGTGTGTCGAGCAGTGTGTTGAAGTTTAACCCATCCTTTCGATTTTATGGGGGGTTTTTTCACACACTTGAGCTCATCAGCTTGTTGCCTGCAGGAAATCTGTAAGGTCACCTGTGTGGGCGGGGATGGGTCCAGTCATACGACACCCTGTACCTTTGTCCTGCATTCGCTGGCACACATCGGTTGTATGCATACACACTCAAGCAAATGGGCTCATTTAGTGTTGTTGGCTTTGAACTGCAAGAATACACATCGCCTGAAGACTGAGCTCAACTGGCTTTGTTGAGGACTGGGTGTAGTGGCTTGCATCAAAGCTAGCACTCTTTCCCATTACCTCCCATTCCTTTCTGAATTTTGTGCTTGTATTCAGTTTCTTTGTTGTGGACTTCAAACACATGCTCTGCTTTTCTGCTTTAAGCATTGTGTGGTTATTTCTACTGATTGGTCCAAAATGATAAAATCTTTAATTGTTCTCATAGCTTTGTTGTCAGTGTTCTCCTTGCTCCTCTTCCATAAAGTCCAGATTTGTGAAGCACATGACATTAAGTTATTAATGTTCTCCAACACTAAACAGCTGTCTTTTACTGGATTAAATTACACACAGGCAGACTTTCCAATTTGATAGCTGGTTCTATTGGATCTTACTTTGGTGTGTGAGGTGAAGTCTATACACGCCACACTTTTTAGAGTTTTTAAGTTTTCTAAAACCATCTATTATTTTCCTTCTACTTATTTTCCTTCAAAGTGCTGACTTGTGACAAAATAACTTGCTTTCAATTCACAGACCAATGGCAGCAAATTCTGCACCTGAGGTTTCTTCTTTCTTGTAGCAAAAAAAAGAAAAACAAAGACACACACAACACACACACAGCAAACTGCCCAGTGTGAGTTGTCCCGCAGTCTGTGTTGCAGTAAATCCCTCTGCCCAAAATGCTTCCTGCAAAGGAAGAGGGTGTGACGGCCTCAGCACAAATATTTACCCAGGCTCCCCTGCGTTCACCTGTGTATCATCTGTCAGCAGGACTGCTGTTGCGAGTTATTCTTGCCCATTTTTCCGGGGATTTTTTTTGTTGTTTTTTTCTTCTTAGTGATGTGTCTAATGATTTTAAATATTTCTGTGTGTGCATTTTTTCATCTTTTGTGAAGTTGTGGCAGGGGTTTAACCAACTATGCTGTGTATTTGGTGTCTTTTCACTTCTGCATGATCAGTAATTTCTTCCCTCAACTATTATGTGCAACCAGACCAATACATCAACAGTCGGCTAAGTTTAAAGTTTTAGAAATTGTTTGGATCTTTTTTTTCCCCCTTCCTACTTTTCCAAACTCCCTCTTGAACTGGGGCATTTAAAGTTGTCCATCACTTTGGAAATAGTCTGCAGACATTTCCTGGCCTATGAAAATACTCGAGCGTGAAGATTGAGATGTTTGCACTCTGCATTGTGTGGAGTAATCACTTCCTACTGTGGCGCAGTGTTAGGGTTATGTTTGGGGAAAGACTTGCTCGAGGTTAATGGTTAACACATGAAAGAATCAGGTTTGTACTTATGTCTGATGCTCAGAGGAGGGAGTCAACCTTCAGGTGTGTGCATGTGTTGGTCTGAACGCTAACCTTTGTTGAGCTCACTGAGGCGGAGCATGTTGATATGAGCAGGTCACGCCGGGTCAGATCCCTAACCCTGTGGCTAATAAAGCATCACCTTACATATTACTGCTGAAAGTCAACAAATCCTAAACATGACCTGCTAACACAGCCCTCAGCACAACCACCAGCCTGTCCGTAGTGGATTTCCAAAATCCCAGTCTATGCCTCAAACCCTTTGATCCTGACGGTGTCCATTTTGTCAGGATGGACAGACTTGATGAATCTCCATCCCACAATCCAACTATTGATTGATTCTCCTAATTAATGCAGAACTAATCAAGCTGACTTTAACTTGTGATGCTCTGGAACCTTTAAGATGGTATGTTGAAGTCTAGTAAGTTGTTCAAATGTTTGGATCTATCAATTAATATTAGAGGTTATTGATTGTGCTTTCCCACCAAACTTTTTCCTGTCTTAAGCCATGATCAGCGATTTCTTATTATGCCTTTTAGTTCAACTTGTATGCCAACTTTTTTTTCTCCTGTAGATTAAAAGTCATAAAATAAAAGATTGACTGCCAAAGTTGTAATATAACTCTGAAAATTGGATGTCCCTCCAATCATCCTAAGCTCAATATCCAATATGGCTCCCACAAGGAGTCAGAGCTGCAGCAATAAAATGTCTTGCACTTTTCATATTTTGTATGTTATTAACCATAATGGACACAATCTATATGATTTTTTTTTAATGTTTGAATTAGGGTTGAGACTATTTTTGATTAGTTAATTACATAGATTGTAATGTGCTAAAAATTGTTAATGCAATATATTGCTTCTCGTTTCTTTTTTTTTTTTTTTTCACAAAGGTTTCAAACCAGAATCTTCTGTATGTATGTTTCTGATACACCCGTAAATCTGACACGCAAACACTTCTACGGGGATCAGTGACGACTTCGCCCATCCGGGCGTTAAGATTTGCTTCAAAAAAACAATCTGATGGGATGTTGGAAAAGAATATTGTTGTGTGCAAGTTGTTCAAAAAAAGAGTTAGCCTGTCACTGAATCTATTCAAATCTAAAATAACATCTCGGTGCAAAACATGTTGCAGCAAGCACAAACGTCCCCAGTGCTAATGTCAGTGTCCACATTTTTAAAGAAGTATTTCTTCAAAGAAGTTGCATGAGTAACCCTGGGTTCCTGAAGCACTCGAAAGCACATTGTGCCAATCTGATAATTTAATAATCTAAATGACACTCTAAAAACAATAAACATAGTTGTTGTTAAGCTAATTTGTCTATTCCAAGTTGGAACTAGACACAACTAGTCATCTCAGATTTCCAAGGCAAATCAAAGTCACACTTAATTAATTAATCCTTGTTTGCAGTGGTGAAGCATGAAATCTTCTGTGCATCAATGTAAAATAAAATGGAGACCGTCAACCTAATAAAAAGTTGTGAAGCCCATTTAAGATCTACACACTGATTCAAGGTAGCTTTTCATCCTTTGACCTCAACAAAAGCAGATGAAAGGACTGATGTCCAGGGTTCGGCTGTTCTTATTACTAAAGTACAAACAAAACAACAACAAGAACTTGAGTTAACCATCAGAATAGAAATAATAAAAAAAAACAGTCAACAAATTGAAGAAAACGAATGGGGAAACTCCCTAAACCTTCCCTCTTCTTTGTGTCTTATAAAGGCAGCTTTATGTGATGAAATGATTACTGGGTGTTTCTGCAGGTTCAGGACAGTCTTGTTTTTCTTATTTTCTCAGTGTTGTAACATCTTTGCAGGGTCTGGTTACAGAAATAGTGTTGAGTTTGTATCTCATGTTCATCCAGCGCATCGTTTGTATTACCAAAGTGTGCGTAGGTTTTTGACTGGTGGGGAGTGGTTGCCAACGCTTGTTGTTTTGGAATGAACTCGGACCTGCAGGAACAGATACTACCAGAGCTCCGACTGAGACCGACATATCAGACACTTCATAATGGATGTTTACTCTGGATATATCTGTCCTATCTGATATCACTACACAAAGTTTTTACATTAGTGATCTCTCTTTGACTGCCACCTTAATGCAAAATGACATGTACATTCAGTCAGTGCTGTGCAACAAGTTTCTCCTGTAGAAAGTCCAAATGCAACTTGCATGGAAACCTTTCCACCCGTCCTAGTTTCTTCACGTCTCACTTTCCGTTTGTAGGGCTGAGAGAAGCTGAAGGCTTTTGTCTAAACACCATCCACACGCGTATCAGCACCCATCAGTAACGGATGCGATTGAGGCAGTGATAAGATGTGCCGAGTGAAATCCTCCCAAGCTGACGCGTACCTGTTTTTAATGAAGTCTTGTTAAACCTGTCTTTAACTAATTTGTATTAACATAATAGCCTGCACCATCTATTCGTCAAACTGTTTACAGAAAACGGAAAGTGAGCAGGCTTTTAACTTTAAAAGAAGCCAAAACGCTATTCAGAAAGCTTTCTGAGGGTTGTTTTGGATTAAAGTGTTTCTGCACAATTAAATACGAGAATAGACAAATCTCTATCTCAGATGGTTGGGTGTTTTTAGATGAATAAAGTGAGTGGAAAAATGAAGAGATTCACACCAGACTGGGGACTTATTAACTTTAATATAGCCATGACGTTCTAAAGTTCACACTTTTAAGAGAACTTTAGATTTTAAAATATTTTTTATGTGATTCTTTAATCTTTGATTGATGTAGTGAAAATCAGGGGGAAGGGAAAGGCTGAAAACATGAAACAAAGTCAGCGGAGTTTAAGTGAATCAAGATGTGAACGTTAGTGTTTATAGTCCCTCTCCTGACTGCTCTGCCTTTGTCTCTACAGGACTACTTGGAGTGCATCAGTAACCAGTCTCGACTGGCCCTGAGCTCGGAGGATAAAAGTTCGCTGTTCGGCAACATCCGGGACATCTACCACTTTAACAGGTACTGAACACACACAAGAGCCCAATGGATTCAACCTCAAGAAATAAGTCAGACAT